AATTGTATTAGGAAACTAGTTTATGTAAAGATGTGTGCGTGTTGCCGATTTGACTGCTAATCAACTTAATGAGGACTACATAAAAGTAGAATAAAACAATGTTGTATGCCTTCATGAAGATTTATTAATACTTGAGATTAATATACTGTTCTTTCATGGGCTGTTGAATTATTTATCATGGAAATAACAGAAAAATTACGGGCAATTATTTTCAGTATTTATTTTCAACTAACACAACAGTCTTGTGGATATTTTTTTCCTCTAAAAAACACGTTCTGCGTGGTAGTTAAAATCATACATAAACAAGTAAAGAATGGTGTAAAGCACCAAACGTCCGTAAAAAAATACTGAAGTATTTAAAAGTATGTCAAGAATAGTCTAAAATACTTTTGGGGGTTTAATGACATATTTTTAATCCAAAGAAGAAAACTATGCAATTTTTATTTTAAACAAAGTAATATTTAGAAATCAGGTATAATTATTATGAGATCATCAGTAAAGACAAATTTTTGTTGCATATACATTATAAATCATGTATTACTATATGAAAATCAGAGATAAAAGGATAGCACTGAATGTTTTATCATCAAATGAAGAAGACAAATATAATAGGGATGGGTATCACCAAAAATTTCGTATCGTGATATATCATGATTTTTTCTAGAATATCACGATAATATCATGATATTTTTACATGCAATTTTTACAATGATTTTAAATGAATATCCTTAATTTTTCCTATAAATATGCTGGAAAAAGGTAACTTCCTTTTTTTTAAAAAAATTTTTATTTACAATATAAAGCATGTTTGGATGCTAGGATGCTTTTCTTTTACCGTTTTCAACATTTTGTAATTGTAATTTGAAAGTTAAAACAAATAAATAAATAATTTCTGGACTTAATAATTGTGTTCCTAAATACCGGTATTTTAATCTCCGTATCACGATACGTATCACACAATTAAAAATCACGATATACCGGTATACCAAAAAATCGCACATCCCTAAAATATAATATCTTAATACTCAAAATGTATGTTTACCAATTATCTCTGACAAAAGGACGTTAACTCTACGGGTACTTATTTCATTGACATAGAGTTTTGTCACATGACGTTGTTACAAACATGATGCCGATATGCTGCACAGCACGATGAATGTGAAGTGTTAAAAATGTATAATACACATCTGTAGCATGTAATATATAGTCTAAATTTTATTTATCATTAATAAATACTGGACGCTCGTAGCAATTGTGTAAATATCTTACACACTCCATTAATGTATTTCTTGTAAAATCCTTTCTACATATTCTATAAAACATAAATTTATAAATCGCTTATGAATATGAAAAAAAAGATATACTAAAAACAATTTAGTGAGAATACTAGTATTCGATATTTTTGAGATGTTTTATTCATAACTTTAATAAATAATTATGTTATCAATAAGGAAATATTTATCAACGCAATAAACTAATAACATCTTTATTTTCCGAGTGAAGTTTCTAAGATTAAAGCACAATCACTAACAGCCAATCTTCAATTTGAATCACTTGTAAACACGGAATGAATTTATTATTAAAAATTATCACCAGAACATTTTAGCTGTCAGTGTTGCACATAAATGAGAGGAATTTCAGCGACATTTTCAAGTGTTCAAAATTATTTAGAAATATACATTTTCCAGCAAATGCTTAGCTACATTTATAGTCTAAATTTTGTCGGAAAACTCGTCCGACCATCCCCCCTCCAATAAATTGCGATTTATATGCAAAGCTACGTCTTATAGACTCCTATAAGGAGACATCGTCGGAAACCCACGGTCGGTCTCGCTTCTCTTACCTCCCGTGGGACACAAGGCCGAAAATTTCGCTTGGAGGTGTGTCTCAATACCGCATTTTCATTGGTCGCAATACGATACGGTATTGCGATGTGTAACTATTAATTATCCAATAAAAATCATCGTTGCAACCCGTATGTCGGGAAGGATTTTGCAAACAATATGGAGACGTTCGAGGCGAAAGTGAAAGAAGTTTTTCAAATAAACGAGCTAAAAGACTTTCAAAGAGAGTCTTTGGCAGCGCTCTTGAAGAGAAGAGATGTTTTTCTGTCTATCAAAACCGGAGGTGGGAAAAGTATTTGCTACCAGGGCTTTCACACGGCATATAACGCTAGTTTTGACGACAACAATCCGATCTCAGTTTTGGTCGTCTCACCTCTACTTTCCATTATGCATGAACAGTGCAATTCATTGAATAGTTTAGGATTTCTTTCAGCATTTATTGGTAAGCAGATTACTTTTATACTTTTTATCGACATAAACTATATATACAGTGTAGATGATGAAACTCTTTTTGGTTACTCAATATTAAAGACAAAGACACTCTTAATTTTGTGGGCAAATTCATAAATGATAAAATGTTGTAGTAGTCGTACACTTTTATACATAGTATTCCTTTTAACTGAAATAGTACAATATTATTGTTGAAATGAGCAATGTCATTTACAAATTGTTATACTATCCATTGGCATAATTTTTTCCTTATTATTGTAATAATTTCATACTTGTCTGTTTCGGGCTCTAAATTAGAAAATAAATGTCCTGTTCTGTTCTATAATGTAATTGTATTGGCATGCATGGGCATTAGCTATGTCGATCTCGCTCACCTTTTCCCCTCTGCTATGTTATGTGATGATTCAGAACCTCTCTAACGTTCATGTTTCTGTATCTGTGTGCGTTGTAGCACTCAATACTGGTTTTTATTCGACAGGAAACATGTAAATGTTGATTTTTTTTTCTGACATTTTTATTTATTAAAAATTATATCAAAACATACATTTTCCCAGGTACATGTATTAGTATATTGTTAATTTAACTATTCCTTCGTGATATAGGTGGTGAAAACGACGATTCCATTTTAAGAAATGAAATGCAATTCATTTTCACCTCACCTGAAAGTGTGCTAAATGGAAAGTGGAGAGATTGGGTGACAAACAATTCAACCATTAGATTAATAGCTGTAGATGAAGCCCACACAGTGCTACATTGGTAAGTTTATTTATGAAGGGGAAAAACCCGGGGAAAAATGATGCATTGTTACAAACCATCAAAATTTGAGCAATTCAAACAGGGTTTAAATTATTCCCCTTATTTTTTAGGGGAGAGTCTGCGAGCGAGGAAGATCCTTTCAGACGTTGGTATGGTCGACTAGGGGAACTGCGAAGCCTTGTGGAATGTCCTGTAATTATGATGACTGCCACAGCAAATTCAGCTGCCAGAAAAGCCTTACAGAGAAAATTTTGTATGACAGACTGTTTAGAAATTATAGAGAACCCAGACAGGAACAATATTAAATTATTTTTACAGTGTGTTAAATACAACACTCCATTAGAGAATACATTCTTCTTTCTAATTCTGATGTTGAAAGAGAAAAAAGAGCTCTGTGATAGGTATCTGATTTTTTGCCCTTCTATCAGAACTTGTAGTAAATTGTACACTATGTTTAGAATTATGTTTAAAGAAAATGTTAAATTGATTGACCATATTGAAATGTATCATTCAAAAACCACAGATGATGTTAAACAATTAGTTAAAGAGGATATGTCTAAAGAAAATGGCAAAATTAGAATTCTTATTGCTACCAGTGCAGCTGGTATGGGTGTAAATTTTAAAGGAGTGAAATATACAATTAATTATGGTTGCCCCCGAGATATGGATACTTTTGTTCAGCAGTATGGCAGAGCAGGTAGAGACGGTGGCTCAGCAATGTCTTTATTGATTTACACAAAACATGATATTAAATGTATAGATGATGACATGAAATTATATGTTAAAAATGAAACCATTTGTCGCCGTGAGAATATATTGTCTTCCTATAAGAGTAAACCTGCTATGGATAGGGACATGCATATGTGTTGTGATATTTGTGATAAGAAGTGTCATGTGAAAGATTGTGAAAAATGTAGTTTAGCACAACATCCTTATTATAAAACTCAATTTCCAGCTTTTTCTTCAGATTCAAGTAGCCAGGATGATCATGACTTGTTTACAGATTCAGATTGGGAGTAAGCATTAAGATGTAATACATGTAATTCAAAGTATCCTTAAAAAATATGCACGCATACATTGCTGCATTTCATAAATCAGTCAGTATTGTATAATTTTGCAAATATATATTGTCAGCCTTTGGTGATAGACCTACTTTTTAAAAATATGTTAGGGTTCATTTAAATCTGTGATAAGATACATTTTCAGTGGGATACAGAAACTTGGGAAGAGACACCATTCCTCATTATAACTATATACTTAGATCCTCAGCATAATACCCAGGAGCAGAGATTTTCAAAGAATTAATGCATTTTCACAATATAATCATTAGAACCCCACCTCACACCAGAACCCCTGATCCAGGGGCCTTGAAATTCAAAATTCTTGACGAAGCACCATTGCTCATCATAACTATGTAATTAGATCATTGGCATTATACCCAGGAGCAGAGGAGAAGATTTTTTAAGAAATAATACATTTTCACTATATATACAACAGAGCCCTGCCTTGGCACCAGAACCCCTGACCCTGGGGCCATGAATTTCACAATTTTGATAGAGTGCTCATTGCTCATTACAATCATGCCAACACTAATTTTAGTTGTTTTGGCCCAGGGGGGCAGGGACCATGAAATTCACAAATTTTGTTTCCCTTCACCCAAAATTGGTTGAAATTGGTTAAGCGGTTTCAGAGAAGAAGCTGAAAATGTGCAAATGTTAACACACGATGCACAACTGACGAAAGCAGATAGCAATACGTCACTCGAGTGACTCAGGTGACCTAAAAAAAAGATTTATTGTCAAAATTCATTAGTATTATAAACAAACTTTTTCTGAGAGAGGAAGGATGAAGTTTAATTTAAACCCTTAATTGAAAGCACTGAAACAAGTTTTTGCTTATACTTCAAATTTATGAATCAGTTTGTACTCCTTAAACATGTTAAAAGCTTGTACATATTTTATTTGTTTTAGATATGAGGTCTATACATACATGTATATGTTCAACATGGTAAATTGTTATCAGTTTATAACATCTACACCATTACTTTTATAATGGTGTACTGATCAAGCTATACTACTGCCATTTTTACAATAAATGCTTGAACTTAAATCTGATTTTGTTTTTTTAAAAAATAAAACACAATGAGTTACTATGTCAGAACAAAACTGACAGAGTTAGATAAACAGATGGACATTGTAATTCCCATTTCATGCTTGGCCCTAATAAGTTTACATGTACAAGTCAGCAATGTTCTTTTGTTCATTTATCCATTCATGTAATTTAAGAATGTCAATTTGGTGAATTGGATCTTTAAATTTGGAGAAACTCTCCCAGCAAAGATCTGACACTGGTCCTTTGCTTCTCAAAGATTTAACCATAGTAATGATATCAACTGTTTTATCAACATCCGGCCTGTGTCTCGACGACTTCACTATTTTGGTAGTCCTCAAAAGCTGATCTTTAATGCTGTCAATGACTTGTGTAGTCATGCAAATTGTTTTTGCTGATTGAAAGGATTTATTTGCTCCTTGTGTGTTGAGTTCTCTCTTGATGTTGCGCACTTGCAGTTCTACACAGTTGTCATTAGGGATATTGTTGTAAATGCCGCCCTTCAGATTTACAGTCATATTCCACATATACTCAAATGCCTGGTCAGGTGGAAGAATAGAATTAACATATGTGAGCATTCTCCACAACCAGAGCTTATATTTTGAGTGACTTAAAGCAGAGGCATACAACCACTCAAACTTGGCATTACGCATGATGCGGTCCCCATCACCCATTTTGTATGCATCACAGGTATCACGGTAGAGAAGGGACATCCTTAGAAAGGATGTAAGTGGTTGATCGGGATCTGATAACTCTGTAATTTCATGAAAGATCCAGTTGTGCTTTTTCAATAGATGTTTCTTTAGCCAAGACTTCCTAATATATGTTTTCCCACACATTGCACAAGAGAAAGAAAGGTCTTGTTTCATGGCATCTATCTGTACATCATCAGTACTTAGATCTACCAAGTGTGATCTAAAATATCAAAATAAATGATTTTTTAGTACTAATAATTTTAGATTCATAAGTATGAAAAATGAAGACTTGTGGCAAAAATATTAAAGACTGGTGAAAACTTGACTCTATTTGATCATGATCTTTTTGCTTGGGTGAGCTTACAATTGCATCTATCCAAGGAATAGCACTCATAAAAATACAATATTTGGTTCATACAAGAAAAGGGTTTTTAACCTTATGTCTAAGAAACTTTTCCAGGAATTTAGGCCAAGTGCATTAAGAACATCTGTGGCAACATTGGTAATCCATTCCATTTTGTTGTCATTGTTCATTAATGAAAAAACAGGAGCATGTGAGGGTTGTGATGTAACTTCCTCCATGTCCATGATGTCCAAAAATGTTGACACAATGTAGGAATCTGTCACATCCTGGATGAATTGATGATGGGATCTAAAAGAAAATATAACAAGGCACACATTATTAACATTCTTTTTTATCTGTTGTTATTTTCAAATTCATATTGCAAAATACTTGACTTGGATAGTTCAACTTACCTGAAGTTATTTGTTACTTCCTTAGGCCCAGTCACTGACCGACGGTTGATAGCATTCCTCAGTTTGTATATGGAACCCTGGTCTGATGCACTGCTCTCAGTGTAAAATAGTTGAAATATTCCCTGAAAAAATATTATTGTGAAAACTGAAGAAATGGAATAGGTTTAGACTTGAGACATCTTTTAAGGGTATAAAATTAAAACTTAATCGAAAAATTCAGAATTGTCTGAAATCTACATAATTATGCAGATTATGTAATTACATGTAATTTATCAATAAATTTGCAACTTGCACCATGTACAAAAGGATTTATTTGTTAGTAAAAACTAAAACTATAAAGCAATAAAATCAAGTCATGCTAAACATAGAAAACATTGGAATGGCCTATGATGGGCTACAACTCCCAGTTTCTGAAACATATGTATACTATCTACATGTACATGATGTACTAAGATAAATTAAGGAATTGATAATATATACCAATATTTGGAGGGCAACAAGTGATAAATGAATAATACTAATGAAATTCATGCTGAAAAAATGAAAAATGCAGTTTATGACCTAGTAAAATTTCAAAGCCAAATTGATAATCTGGATGCAAAGAACATGAGCAAGTCTGCAGAGTTTCACAATATTTCCACCTATTTGTCATTGCAAAGTTAAAGATGAAAATATGTATGGCACTTCATGTATAAGTAAAATTATGAGTACTATATTATCTCTGCAAAATACTTACTCTAATTCATAAAAGCCAAAAACAACTGGAACTAAAACATTCCTGAACAGGGTGTGTTACCAATAAGAAGTTCATCTCCCTGTGAAAACCTTCTGGCCTGTGAACAAGCCCCCCAAGCATATCATAGTCTGATTTTGCATTTTGCATGGCTTCTTGAGCTGTAAATGCTCGCTCATTGGTGAGAACATCTCCACCAAAAACAACCCTGTCCGTTATTTTCTGATCTTTTTCAACAGCTTGGAAAACTAGTTTATTCACATTTTGCAAAATTGTTATCATTCCCTCTGATGAATTTTCACTAGCCTCTACTAAGTCACAATTCAGAATGACTGATTTCTGTCGAGTTTTGTCCATAAAGTCATGGGTTATGCAACCTGGCACACACTTTTGTAAGGGTTTCAGAAATTCGACAAAGGTAATAAGGACTTTAATAATATGAAATTTCATATTTTCAATCAATGTGTGCAGGTCACCTGAAGATGGTAACCATGCACTTGTTGGCAACTTCAAAATATCCCTGGTTTCTCCATTCTCTTCTGTTGATCTAGGGTGTTTATCATCTGACATGATCCTCTTCTCTTTCACCATTGTCAGAAACCAATGCAAGCTCTTTCTCTGAGACATCATTGTCATCTTAGCAGGAGTAATTGTGACATCTAAATTATCCCCTATGATTTCTATGCCATGTTTAACATCTAAGAGTCCTGGATTTTCAGGTGAAGGGTAATAAGAATGTAAATACCTTGTCATTGTGGCCGACACCTTCTTCTCCTGCTCTTTGATCAGCTGTTTCTTTTCTTTGATGACAGTGCTGCTTGCCACAGAAATTCCAAGATCATGAAGAATTTTCAAACCCTAAAACCAATGAACAGTATCATTTTTGATTCACACCTTTTTTCAATAGATATTCGACTACATCAGGATTAATGTGACTTTTTTTTTTTAAATTTCAATCAATTTTAATAATTTTTAAAACTAGTTTTAAATACCTCTTTTGACACTCCACACTTGTCTAGTGTTAGACCAAGGATATACTGTAACTGATTTACTGATCTTGATCTGCCATAAAGAAGTACACCTATTGACATTATTAGCACTGGAAGGTTCTGCTTCTTTTTTACATCTATCAAACTGCTCATAATGGTAAACAGATAAGGAATCCCTTCCTTGAGTTTTGATTCCACAAAAGACCAGTCAAGATTCATCATACTTTCACTCTTTTTGCATTTTAATAGGTCACTTTTTTTACTAACAACACAGTCAATTTCTTTTTTCAGCTTCTTTACACACAACTGAAATAACGCATCCATATAGCTGGTATCTTTGCAAAAATTCTTCAGTACAGCATGAGGTGATCTTCTGTTAAACAGTGATTTTAAGGCTGCTTTAGAATTTTCATCTTTTACTACTCTACTTACATCAGCTCCAGCAATCTTGGTGACAATCTATAATGGAACACTGAAAAGTTTATGTATTTTGTATATATGTACATATTCTATGAAACAAAAGCATCATCAAAGATGACATTAAAATGATGTATAGTTCACATACACATGTAACAGTTAGAACCCTTGCAATAATGTAGATTCTTATATCTTCAATATTAGCAACATAAAGATTGAAAGTGTCAAAGTGAGTAGTTTAATTTCATTTGCCATTCTTTTAATCAAGAAAATATGGGATAGTCATTTATGAATTTACAGTAGTGACCAGATGTTGGACAGTAAAAGACAAAGGCTGCATGACCCTAGCCCATTGACAAATTTATCAAAAATTACCTTTACATCAAAATTTTCTGACACATGTGTTTGTGTTGATTTATCCTCCCTGCATGGTAACTTTGACTGGAGACTATGATTTGGGTTCTGATGCAGAAGTAGTTTGTCAGGTGTTTTAAAGAGAGCTTTTTTACTTTTTCCTTTTGGTGTTGGTGTCTTATCTAGGGACCTCTTCACTGCACTCACCCTGGGGGTACTGGGCTTAACATGCCCACTTGTCTGTTGATGTTGTCTTAGAACATCTTGAAACAAATTATAAATCCCTGTGTAAATTTATGTATGCAATGCTTTTATAAATAAGGCAACAATTTCTAGATTAAATTTTAAAATAGCTGGCAGGACTTTTTTATTTAATAATAGTTATTAGTAAATAGAATATTCAATACACAGAACTGATATCAACAATCAACTTTCAAGCCCTCATTCTTTGATAAATATTTATACTGTTATAGACACCTCTTCATGAGAAGTAGGTCAAAAAGTTTCCACATTTGTCTAAATCCAAATATCACATACCTAACAACTTTTCCCTCTCAGTTTTCAACTGTTCCACCTTTGCTCGCACATTTTCCTCGATCTTGGATATTCTATTTAGTTTATTGGTGCATAGATTACACGCATATGAATTGCTGGTCGGGAAAAAATTTAACCTTGTAAATGCATAATTATACTGTTCAGTTGATGTTTTAGAGCTTAATGCTCTATATCCCCTGTCCTTTATAACACATAAGCAAAAAGAGCATTCTTTTACGTGTCCCGAGGCTGCCATAGTTTACAAAACACTTTCAAACAGCAACACGACATTATTCTCATGGGCGCCGCCATTACTGTATGCCTAATTTGATAACGTCAATTTTCATTGGCCCTCGAAAGGTC